TCGAAAGAAATTCGATTTTACAATTTTCATACCAGGAGATATAGGGGCTCTGAAATCTTGATATTGACCGTTTGAATTTGGATTCTTAAAAAAAAGAATACATGTTAGAAATAGTTTGACCATTACCAATCTCTATATTAATTAATTAAAGTTAAGTACCTTTTTCCTTCTTGAATGCTTCTTATGACTATATACCGCAGCATCAGATTCGATACCGCTAGAATCTCCATGAATATGATTCCCGTTAACCGTATGTTTCGAATTTTCTCCGTAACCGTTTGTCTCTTCTTCATCACCCTTTGAATCACTATCAACGGTTGAAGCTGTTTGGGAGATCTTCGTCGGATTCTGAACCAGCTGTTGAAGATTCTAAGGATATTACGCCAAAAGGTGGAAGGACAATAAATGTCAGACCAGCAATCAATCAAGGATAAACACCAAGGTATTACTAGGTAGACATCATTATACAATGACTTTAAATGTTAACATTAAATTTCAAACATAGATATCATTATCGCAATCTTCACTGTTTCCAGATATCTAAATTTGAGATACATACAACATACGGTGAAGTAGCCCTAAATGAAATTTAAATGTAATAAGTAAATTTCTCTTAAAAAAGATAAATAAGAATACTACTCATATAACCATATAAATTTACCTTGATATGCCATATGGACTTGACAAAGGATTCGATTGTTGAAATGTAGTAGGTACTTGGGAATACTATTGATTATTTTTCAAAGAAAAACTTAAATTTTTGTGAAACTAGGTAAATAATAAAATTTGTTCAGAGAAACCAACCGAAATAATTGCAGGATCTGAAAAAGGTGACATTGTCGACGAAGTTTGTATTGCCAATACTTGATTGACTACATTATTTGGAGCAGGGGTGGTACTTATTGAGGGTGACTTTCCATTCTCGAACGTATTTACGCTAGATTGTACATGACGTTGTTGTTGAATATTGGCTGTTGAAGTCGATGCAATAATTGTAAGATCTTTTATATCTGTGCCTGCTACACCGTATATTGGCAGCTGTTGAAAACGACCATTACTGTTAATATTTACTATTATTTCAATAAAAATATAGTAAGTATAATTATTAAAAAATAAAGTATTGAAGTAGTCAAAATGAAATCTAATGCCAACCGTTTTTTAGAGTCAAAAGTTGCGTGTGAGAATCGATATGCGACACAGTTCCCTCTATTGACGAGCCATTCGTATGTTCAACGTGCACACTCAAACCAATGAAAGCTTCCGCCATGGTACTTCTTTTATCCGTATCACTCAAAAATTTATTAAAACTGTTAAATTTGGAAGTTGAAATTATTAAAAAAAAAAAAAGCCTGAAACAAATATGAGAAAAAAAAATTTTTTTTTTTTGCTTGAAGTTAGAAATATTTAAATATTTAGTACATAATTTAATAACTATTTTTGGTAATAAAAGACAGATAATGATTGGATGGTCTATATATAAGCTGTTTAAAAATAAAGGCAAAATTCGGGGCTGAAATCTAATCTTTGCCTTATAAGGATTAAAGAGTCAATTTTCTTGAGTAACGGTAGATTTCTATTTTTAGAAATTGAGTATTCACGTGGAAAAAGGATTTACTCACTCTGGTAATCTGGTAATACTTATTAATTAATTAATTATTTTTTTAGTTACAGATATCGAGACATTACCTTCCTCTTGCCAAAAATGAGGTTTAACA